CAGCGTAAGACCTCCCCTGCCCTACACTACTGCCATCATTTTCAAGGCCCCACTCAAYCTGGTCATATGGGACCTCATCKGTACCACCTTCTTCTAATGTCAGGATCATGTGATCCTTGGCCTTTACTTGGCCTGAGATGGTATGATTCTTCCACTTCTTCCCCTTCTCTAAGTCCTTATGCCAGAAAGTGGTAACTGGCGTAGACTTCGACTCATACAAGACGACTTCGCGACTCAACTGATCGTATGTGATGCCAGCCTGCTGAGACTTGTCAAAGAAATGCCCACGTAGGGCCTCTGGAATGGCATGATAAAACAACTGAACCAGYTGGGGCTCAGTGACCSCATRGTCCGGGACGGCTACCAAGTCGTCCATGGTACCCTTGAGTGCCTTGGCACTCCTCCACTGCCGTGAGTGGATCGTTTGAAGCTTGTCAGAGGCTCTTATGCCTCTCGTTGGATCAGCGAAACGCTCCTTGAGGAGCCTGAGGAATTGGGAAAGAGGGGTGACTTTAGAATATGCAACCAGGTTGTTTTCACAACCGGCTGTACGCGCGAGAGACCTGGCGAAGCTAGCCGCTTCGTCCTTCAGGGCCTGGAAGGCCACGAGGACTTGCTCCTCCATCAGCATATGCTGTAAATAAATGTAACTATTGATACTGGCCTCCCAGTTGTCAAAGTTTTCGTCCTTCTTCCCCCCGTACGCGTCTGGGAACTTAAGTTTCACTGGGTCCTTACGGGGTCTGGCCTCTCCTTATACAGCGGCTGCAGCTTTGGCACCCTGAATGGCGCCCTCACAAAACTTCCCTAGGTTGTCTCTCAATTGCTTGACTTCACCCCCAATATGGGTGACGATTTCGCGCGCAAAATCCCTGAACCCGGACCGCAAGGCACTCAACGCTACATCCTGGCTCCAACTTGCCTGGCGCTCCTCCATCCAGGCCTTGCTCAACACCTCTAAATAGCCCAGTACTTTGTCCCACTTGGCCTTATCATCTGGATGGGCCAGCACCTCCGCTCTACACTCCTGCACCTTTGCCACTGCGGCGGTCATCTTATTCACTTCCTCTCTCCTCCTCTTCTTCTCCATCTTCATTCTCAACTTCCATGCTAACTTTTGCTCGTCTTCCCTCTCTCTTCGTTCCATTGGGTCTGTCATGGCCGCTAGCTCAGCGGCCAGCGCAGCCTTCACATCCTTAGTCACATAGGACTCCGCCTCCTCGTCTTCCCCCAACGATAAATTAGCGACCCACTCGCTGATCTTCTTCTCCAGCGCAGTATCTGTCTCCCACTTCATCGTGCCACCACTACTTCCTTCCCCACTCTCAATTCTCATCCTCTCTTTCTCTTCTTCTGTTGCCGCTTTTGCTTCAGCAACCTTCCTTCTTTCTTCCTCCTCCTGTTGTACCCTCTTCATCTCCTCCTCCAATCTCTTCATCTTCGCCGCCTGCTCGTCTGCGATAGCCTTTAGCTTGGCTTGCTTTTCACGCTCTTTCCTCTCCTTATACTCTCTGACTAAGGCGGCCATCTTTTCTTGCTGCTCAGTGGTGTAGGGGCTAGTCTCCTTCCCACTACGGGTCTCAACCATGGTGATAAGTGTACCATCGGGTTAGTGGTTCCAAACCTCACCACATAGACGTCAACCCCTGACTGACAGACCTACTGACTCAATCTAAGACTCACAGAATCCTGACAGGGATCCTGTCAACTATGGTCTCTAGCCTAGACCTACACTATGGCTGTCACTACTGAACCAGTGGCTGATCAGGAGGCATTTAAGGAGATCCCCCATAACTCCTCAAGAATTCTTTAACGTCGTAGACAGGACAACGTGATCAGCTTGGTTCTGCCTGTGCTTTCAGCCCACAACTCAGCCTTTCCGGCCTACTATGCCACACCGAGCAGCCCGCCAGTCTGTACCGGTCCTTGGGAGGGTTCGTATCCCCCGGGACAGTCGAGTCGTCAGACACAGATCATCAGCCTTACTTGGTCTGGTAGGGGAGTGGTTCCAACAGGCCCTCAACACTTAAAGACGGCCTCCGTTTCAGCCTGCAGCTCAGAGTTCGGACCCTCTACACTGAAACTGAGCAGACCTGCCGGACAGTACCGGTCATTGGGCTAGAC